CTCACCTCAGCCTCCCAAAGGCGCGAGATTACAGGCTGAGCCACCGAGCCCGGCTTCTAGCAGACGATTTTACACAAGTGTGATTCTACCTTAAGAAAACTGTCATTAAAATGAGAACCGAGCGTGCAGGTATGGGCCATTATCGCTGCCTCCAACTCATCTCTGAATCTCGCCCTCCCACAATCACGCTCATCCTTAGCCTAAGTACTGGGTTCCAGGTGCAGACGGGAGTCCAGCTTTCCCGTGCAAACCTGAAACGCTTGTCTGCTAGGCTCGAAGAGGCGCTCGTGAGGAAGCCACGTAGAAGGATGTTCTTGCATGCTGTTCACAGCAGCAGGAGCTAGGGACGCTCCCTCACCCCTAACTGGGCCAGGGGGCGCACTGGGGCATGCCCATGTTACACAACACCATGATGTCATTAAAAAAAACATAAGACCTATGTACACTATCCCAGAATGATCGCCAGGGTACACTGTGAGACGAAAACGCCAAGTATCCTATTTGTGAAAACAAACTATAAAATAACAGCACACGGGAATCTACACACAGATTTCGACACAAAAGTATGGGAGAGGCCTACAGAGAGCTCTCTCTGCAATGGCTGCAGCAGTCCTGAGGCACTTTCACTCTGAGCTGGATGGCACAGGACTTGTACTCAAGGGGATGCAGGTGTGCTTAAATGCCAGGAAGGGAGAAAGAAGGAGAAAGGAGGGAAGGAAGGGAAGGGGAACCAGCAACTCCTGGGCTCTGGGTCCAAAGACCCAAACCTCTAGCCCGAGTGCCAGAATAAGTGCCTGGCACGAGGAAGTCCTGAGGTCCAGCTCTCGCCTGCTGCACCAGGTGAGCTCGGAGGCCCCTTCTGACTTCAGCATCCTGAGTCCACCCATCCTGCAGCTCAGGACCATCACCAGTGCCTCCAAGCACTCAGGGCCTGGGCTGTGGACCCAGTCCTTACTTGTGGCACGGTCCTCAGACCGGTGTGCCCAGAACCTCACAGGAGACGGAAGACCCCGAGAGCTGACCCAGCCCTGGTCTAGAAGGCAACAGCACCCATCAGGTTGGGGGATTAAAGTACTTCATTTTTCTACAATGTTTGGGGGTGGGGCACAGAATGTGTAAAACTGAGGCATCCAGTTCAGGGTTGGAGAAAATTAAGGGGCACGAGACAAGGTGGAAAACGAGACAAACACCCTGAAGGTAACGTAGAGATCTCACCCTTAAGGGATTCTCATTTCTTTCTCTCATTGCTCTTTTTTTTTTGAGTCGGAGTCTCCCTCTGTCGCCCAGACTGGAGTGCAGTGGCTGCTCCCGGCCACCGCAGCCTCGCCTGCTGGGCTCCGGCAATCCTTCCGCCTCAGCCTTCCGAGTAGCTGGAACGACAGGCGCGCGCTACCACGCCCAGCTAATTCACATTGCTCTTTTTAAAATTGATCGTTCAGATGTACTTTTTATCAAAAGACTGGGAAAAATGACCCTAACTGAAAGCCAGAAGCAAAGACGAACACACAGCACCGTCAGTTGGAGGCACACAGGCAGATGCCCGGAGCCCAGGGTCCCGGGAGGCAGGGGAGGGCGCCGCACGCACTTGAGCTCAGCAGACTCCCTGGAGCTCACAGCACGGCTCACCTGGGTGTGACGCTGCTGCTCTGACCCAGTGGCCCATCACCACCGGGCTTCAGCTCCTAGGGATGCCTAGACCGTGAGCATCTGTCCCAGTGGCCTGGCCTCGCACCACCCCCTGAAAAAACGATCTGTACTGCTGCACGCTCCAGAGTGCCGTGCCAGGATGAGAGCGCATTCTTCATCTGAGACCCCCCAGGTTCTTGCTACCACCTGGTCGTCTGTGTCAAGGCTCACCTGTCCCCAGTCCTCAATGGCCACTTCAAACTTTCCCTGTCCGAAATCACCATTTGCTTCCTTCTGCCTCTTGGTAGGCCTGCAACGTCCTTCCCAGGAAGACCAGATGCCACCAGAGAGCTGGCTCACCCCACTGTCAGATTCGTGCGATGGCCCACCCTCATGGCTTTCCTCTACCCTATCTGGTGGCTAGCTTTATGTGTCAACCTGACTGGGTCTCAGGCTGCCCAGATATTTGGCCAAACACTATTCTGAATGTGTTGATGAGGGTGCTTCTGGATGAGAGTGGCCTTCAAATAAAAACACAGAGACAGCAGACTGCCCTCCAGTCAGCTGAAGGCCTGGACAGAACAGAAAGGCTGCCCTCCCTTGAGGAGGAGGGGACTCCTGCCTGGCGGCCTCCAGCCAGGATGCCAGCTGTCTCCTACCTTCGGACTCAAATGGAAGCATCGGCTCTTGTGAGGTCTTGAGCCTGCCAGCCTTCAAGCCGGAACGCCACCACAGGCGCTGCCGGGCCTCCGGCCTTCAGAAGGGGCTGGACCCTCTGCCCCAGGCAGCCAACTCACTCTGCAGATTCTGGAACCTGCCAGCCTCCAGAACCGCTTGAGCAACTCCTCACAACCGGTCTGTCGACGTATACTTATACATGCTCACCCACACAAACTCTCTCTCTCTATGGATTCTGTTTCTCTAGAGAGCCCTAACGGACCCTCCCATCCTGCTGCAACGGAAGGAGACTCCTAGAGCCATGCCTGTGTGCTCTGGACTGAGTCTAGCTGTCCTCTGGAGACCTTCCTCTCTCTCCCTTTTTAACTGCTCCCTACCAACTCCGGATGGCCAGCAGGCACACATGCTCTCAGCTCGGCCCGTGGCAAAGCCAAAAGAAAAAACAGTTTCCCTGTAAAGCCATGCCCACCGCCTCCACTCACCCCTTTTCCAACCACATCTGGCCCTGCCCCACAGAGGCTCTCAAGTGCTTCTGCCAGGCCCCCTGGCTCCACGGGCTGACTCACTGGCTGGCCCTGTCCTAGCCTCCTGGCCGTTGGGCAGCACCTGGCCCCACTGAGGATGCTTTCCTTCTCAAAACCCTCTCTCCTCTGGCTTCCACACCAACACCACACAGCCACACATCCATCTTTCCTGGTGGCAACACTCACCTCCCACAGTCGGACAATCACACCTTGGTCTGAGCATGGGCAGCAACACAACCAGGGTCTCAGGGTCAGAGGGGCACCTGGAAGGCTTCAGGCAACCATTTTCCTCTGACCGTGAAGATCAAGGCAAAAACAGCCCGTGGCCGTGATTTTATGATGAGTGGGTTGAGCTGACAACACCCCCAGCCCCCGCTCTCCCCAAGGAGTGGTGACTGACCCTACAGACCTCCTCAAGAAGCTACAGGCAACTGCGTTCCCAGAACACCCTCTGTCTTGGAGTCATGCTCATTTTGTTTTTCTAGAAACAAACCAAAAATCACCAAAAACTTCTAGCTCTAACTACAGTTTACAGGAAATAGATCAATACTCAAGAGAGGAATCACACAAATCCAACGTGAGGATCCTGCATGGGTCAATTAAAAAAAATTTTGGCTAGGCTTGGTGGCTCAGCCTGTCATCCCAGCACTTTGGGAGGCCAAGGTGAGTGGATTGCCTGAGCCCACGGGTTCAAGACCAGCCCGGACAACTTGGCGAGACCTCATCTCTACGATAAATCAAAAATTAGCTGGGCGTAGATAGCGCGCCTGTAGTTCCGGCTACTTGGAAGGCTGAGGCAAAAGGACTGCTGGAGCCCAGCAGGCTGACACTGGGGTGGCTGGGAGCATGCCACTGTACTCCAGCCTGGGAGACAGAGTGAGACTCCAGCTCAACAACAAAAAAATTGTTAAAAAGAAAACTTAGGGATCTGGGAAAACGGAACATTGACTAAATATATTAAGAAGCCCATTAAATTACTGGAATTTTTATGGTGTGACATTGCTGTTTTGGTTCGTTACTTTTAAAATGTCAACAGCCTTTAGAGACCTGCTTCAAATAATCCAGCGCAGAGGGGTGGGAGAGGAGGACCCGTGCTGGTAATTGCCGAAGCCAGTGACAGGCCAATGGGCTTGTCGCTCTTCTCTGAACTTGCATGTTGCTTGCCATTTCCCAAAAGAGAAAAAAATATTGACTAAGCTGAGTGGCCAAGATGCTGGAAGATCTGTGTATATTGAAATTGCTAAGAAATAAGACAAGCAGTGTACTGTAAACAGCACAGTCATCAGGAACGAGGGAAGGGCCAGGTGGTCATGGGGGCAAGTCATGGGGAGTAAGGGAAAAGCCCAGACGGGCCTCAGGTGAAGGCTGGAGGCGACTGTTCTGCCTCAAGACGTCGGGAAAGGCTGGGAGAGAAAGAGGGAGAGAAAGACACAAAGCCAGGGACACAAAGAGCTCTGGGAAAGAGAGGCAAATAGGGACGGCAGGTCGAGCCCTCTGCTCGAGCACCATGTGGGTCCTTCCCAATCAGCTCTCTGATCCTCAGCCCACGGTCCTCTCATCTGCATGTAGAGTCCAGCTGCTCCATGCTGGTGACCAGCGCTGGACCCGCAGCTCCCGTCTCCCCCTGGGAACCAGTCCTGTTCCCCGCCAGCCCCTAACCCAGTCGCACCCACCTGCCACAAAGCCCTCCGCTCTTCCTCCTGACCTCCCTCAAGCAGGTTTCACCCCTCGTGCGCTGCCTGGTCCAGGCCACTGCCAGGCCTCCCCAGTCCTCTCCAGCTGCCTCCTGGATGGCTGGCATTGCAGCAGCCTCCTCAGCACAGCTCCCTCCATCAAAATCCTGCCCTGGTCCCACTGCCCCTAAAAGGTCCACATTTACAGCACGGCACGCAGCACACTCCCCAGTGCAGCCCACTGCCCTACTCTGTGTCTCGCTCCACCTGCCTAGTCTAACTGAAGGGAGCTGCGAGTTTCACTTAAATTAGGTGGTGCTTTCCTAGGTAGAGAAACAACAGGCATTTTAAAGATACTACTTAAAACAGGTCAGAAAAGCTAAAAATGAATGATCAAGAATCACTGTTTTAAGCTTCGCAGTGAAAAGGAGGGAGCAGCTTTCCTGAGCTGCCGGCTCATTTTGTCCTAAACATGCCGGGAGTCAACGGACAGAGCATGTTGCTATGGAAAGTGTGACGTGACCGAGAATTGTGAACACAAACTCAACCATCAAACATAAGAATTGACTGATGCTGTTCAGAAACATTTTTCGTAAACGATCTTCTGAGTTTCTTAAGGTTTCAATGACACGTTCACCCTTTACAAGACGAGTCACAAGCATCTTCCTGGCGCCTTCATGATCCTGCCTGGGTGCACAAGTTTTTCCACCTACTGATCAAATCCTGACCTGTTCAGTCATCTATTTTCCTTTGGCACTAAGCCATACTTTTATAACACCGAAGCGTACCTCCAATTATCCTTCTGATATGGTGAACTAGAGGTATAAGGGGCAAGTCAGCAACTTTTAACACTCAAACTTCGAGGTGCAGTATATCAGAACACAAATAAATGCAGAAAACTTCGCGTAAGACAAAAGGCATGCTCCCGAAACCACGGGCTTCATCAAAATTATTCTGTGATGCTTCCTCCAAAAGACAAATGATCTTGCAGGTGGCTTCTGCTACCGTTAAAAGCACCGGGCTACTGATATGAGTCACAAAACACGAGCCGTAACCACAAAGAAACCTGATTCTCGGGATCACAGCCATTCGGGTGGGGTCGAGAACAGCAAGTCCTTTGCGATGACTAGGCACGAGTCACTGGAACAATCAGATTCAGAAACGCCTTCAAAGCAACTTGACAGTGTCCACGTCAAGCCAGCAGCTCCGCAAAGCTGTATGTCAAGTGTATAGATTTGTTCACCTTGGAAATGCAACACGAAGGGGCAGTCTACAGCGCTCCCACGAAGCCCCACAGTGCTCAAGTGAGCAGGCCTGGCTGCAGGCCCCACTGCGCAGACACTCACCTGAGCGCGTATGTGTAGCCCGTGTTCTCCGGCACACACTGGGGAGGGGTGTACATGTGAAGCCGAGAAAAGTCCATGGTCCCGCTCTCACATCATACTGCAGAAGTGGAGAAAAAGGAATGTGGAGTGTTTAAAAGGGGTGAAAAACACAGATAAGTCTCACCTGCTTCAGTCAACCTGAGTGGCACACAGATGACTAGCCAGATACCACCATCAAAATGTCACAGAACAAAGTCAGCAGTCGGTTGGGTCTGTTTTGTTTTTAAACAAAGGAGATGAGCTTTTCTTTTTTTTTTTGAGTTGGAGTCTCACTCTGTTGCCCAGGTTGGAGTGCAGCAGCACGCGCATGGCCACCGCAGTGTCGACCTGCTGGGCTCTGGTGATCCGTCCGCCTCGGCCTTCCAAGTGCTGGAACTACAGGCGCGCAATACCATGCCTGGCTAATTTTTAATTTTATTGTAGAGATGAGGTCTTGCCAAGTTGCCCAGGCTGGTCTTGAACCTGCAGGCTCAGGCAATCCACTCCCAAAGTGCTGAGATTACAGGCTGAGCCACTGAGATTGGCTGGAGATGAGCTTTTCTATAGTGACAAGCCTGGAGCACTTCTATCCCATCTAGTCCCCTAATATATCCAGTAAAAGGGACCAGGGGAAACCTCAGACTGACTGACTTGGAGTTCTGAAAACCGGAGCACTTTCAGAGAAATACTGGAAGTACTCGGAACCCTCTTCAAAATGTGTGTTCAATTCCTCACGGTGTCCAAATGCTCTCAGTCCTCTGGAACTGCTATTAACAACAACAGAACGAATGCTTATTCCAGGGTCTAGAAGCAACTCTGACCTTCCTCAGCACAAACCCTCACAAACTGCAGGATAAACAATAAACGCTCAGGGCACTGTTTACACTTCCCCCCCACAAGAAAATATAGATTATTTTTTAGTTTAACAAGTGTTGAGCACAGTTTCTGTGGTTGTCATCTAGATTTTTCTGGAATGACTCAAACTTTCCTCTGGCTAAAAATAATCACACACACACCCTGAATTAAAAAAAAAAAAAAAAACTCCCCATAGTAGAAACGTGAATCACAATCTGTCCTCGAAAAATCGAAGGAAGATAAAACTAAAAGCAAAAAACACCCTGGACAAAAAGCTTTCCGTACAAATGACTCAGCTCTATCCACGAGGCCACCAGCATTTCGACTCATGTCACCTTTTAAAAACAGCCTAGCTGGGCTCGGTGGCTCAGTCTGTAATCCCACGCCTTTGGGAGGCTGAGGTGAGTGGATTGCCCGAGCCCGCGGGTTCGAGACCCGCCTGGGCAGGCGAGACCTCATTTCTACAATAAAATCAAAAAATTAGCCGGGCGTGGTAGCGCACGCCTGTAATTCCGGCTACTCAGAAGGCTGAGGCTGAAGAATCGCCGGAGCCCAGCAGGTCGAGGCTGCGGTGGCCGGGAGCAGTCACTGCACTCCAGTCTGGGCAACAGAGTGAGACTCCAACTCAAAAAAATAAAAAATTAAAAAATTAAAAAAAATAAAAACAGCCTAAATACTCTTTTAAACATCAAGCACTCACAGAAAGCAAGACCACTGATTCTCTGGAAATAGGTTACTGCACCTACTAATTTCAATTAACAGCACAAAACTCCTGCCTCTTAACAAACTTCCCAAACGTCTCCTGTTCTCCCCAGGTACCTGCTCCACCCGCCCAGAACACACTCAACAGGTCAGTGCGTTTCACTCACACTCAGTGCCTTTCTGCAAGTAAAGGAGCCGTGATGACAAAACCAGTGTCACATCAGATGTCTGTCCAAGTCCCTCAGTCTCCCTGCCATCTCCTTCGACCTACACCGAGGTCTGGACTCACACAAGCCTCTAAGAGGTGCCTGAGGGGCAGAGCCTCACACTCTCCTACAGGCCTGTCCTACAGGCTGGCTCAGGTGCGCAGTGGCAGCTCCAGGTCACTCGGAACACAGCCACTCCCAGGCCCTCTAACAATGGGCGCCACAGCCTCAGGCTGAGCCAGGACTCACCAGCCCTGCAAAGAGCTAGGCTCAAAAGTAGTACAAACACCTTCATCTTGCTGTCATCCCAAGAGAAGCGTGGGGCTCACTCTGAGGCACACCAACACCCCATCCTGCTGCCTCCTGGAGGGGACAACGGGCGGGCGCACTCAGGAGCGGCGGTGCGGCGTGAACGTCCTACTCCTGCTGTCACCTGGAGGAGCAACATCCAGCAGCCCTACGAATGCCTGACTCCTGCCATCCCCGGGAGGGTGAGCTGATGCAGCAGCAGGACAGCCAGGCCTGAGGCCAGGAGAGGAGGAGAAGGTGCCGGGAAGGAAGAGGTCAGTCCAGGGCACGGAGTGTGAGGAACTGTAGAGGGAGCCTGTGATTGCAGACCCTTCTTCTCTCCTCGTGACTTCACCTTCCTGATCCCGTCAACTGGAAGTTCCTGTCTCTGGCAAACTTCACTTAAGTGTAAGACCGTGTGCAGAATCCAGCCTTTTTCCATTTCCTGAAACTTCTAAATGAGAAAACAGCCCCCTTGCCCTACCTTGCAGCCAAGCCTCAAACACCCATCCAGGGTCCCAGGAAATGTTGTCTGGACTGACTCCTCAGCCCAGAAAATGACCCACATCAGCATAGGAATAAAACCAAAAACTCGGCATCTAACAACAGGCACACGCTTGAAAAGACACGCTTGCCCGGCAAGCGCATGCCCCACGGGAGCAGGCCAGGAGGAGGCTGAGACAGCCCAGCGCACACTCCGAGGCTGGTGTTGGGTGCACTCCCCCACGTTCCTGCACGCCGAAGATGAGACAACACCCCTTCTAGAGCACACCAGACCCTTCCACCTGCTGCCTCACTCCTCCCTTAACAGACCACGATAAGCACTGCACTACGAACATCTTCAACCTTCAGTCCTCTACAAAATGAGCAGTAAGTAAAACTGTAAGATGAAGTGAAATGAAATAAAGTAATCAAAGTATTACATGAAATCATGCATGTAAGCGGAGCCTGGCATGACAAATGCTCGGATGTCAGCTACAATTATCTAACAGGATGCAGTGACATGGCCTATGTTTTCAATTTTAAAAGAACAGACTTGTCTTACTTGTGGGTCAGCAATCCCAGTGGTGGGAGAGTCACTCACTCCAGTTCTAAATGAAAGACAAAGTCCACTGGTCAGTCCGATGGCTGGGACTTAAGAGTCAATGGGTCAGAAAGACACCTACCCTCTCCCGGCGTGTCAGAGCACTTCAAAGCAGAAAGGCAGCTTTGTTTTGCTTTGTTTAGTCAGGTTCTCACCCTGTTGCCCAGACTGAACCTCCTGGGTTCGGGCGACCCTTCTACCTCAGCACCCCCCGTAGGAGGGACTACAGGTAAATGCCGCACCCAGCTAATTTTGTGTGTGAGTGAGTGTGTGTGTGTGTGTGTGTGTGTGTGTGTGTGTGTGTGTGTGTGTGTGTATGAGCGTGTGTGAGACTCAGGGGTACACATGCCTGGTTGTTACACAGACAGTGTAGTGGTGAGGACTGGGTCTCAGTGGCCCATTCCCCAGAGAGTGAACACTGTGCCCTGTAGGTAGTTTATTAATTTTAATCCCTCTTCCCCTCGCCGCTTATTGGCAGCCCTAGTATCGGTTACTTTCCCCTTTGTGCCTGTGTAGTGCCCACAGATGGGTGAGAACATGCAGCATTCGGTTTTCTGAGTCAGTTCACGTAGGATGATGATCTCTAGTCCCACCCATGCTGCTGCAAAGGACAGGATTTCATCCTTTCTCATGGCTAATTTTTTTTTCCACTTTTTTAGAGACGAGGCTTCACTATGTTGCCTAGGCTGGTCTCAAACTCCTGAGTGCAAGCAATCTGCCCGCCTCGGCCTCCCAAAGTACTGAGATTACAGGTATGAGCCACTGTGCCTGGCCTAGAAATGCAGTTTTGATACTAGTTCTGGGTGCAGTGGGGCTCAGGCCTGTAATCTCAGCACTTTGGGAGGCTGGCACGGGAGAATCAGTTGAGCCCATGAGTTCCAGGCTGCATGCAGTGAACTGTAATGGTATTACTGCACTCCAGCCTGGGAGACAAAGCCTAAAAAAATGAAAATAAAATGGAAGTTGACATTAGTTCTACTGATGACTACTGAATACTTAGCATTTTCAAAACAGCGTTTCACCCGGGAGTGGTGGCTCATTGCCTGTCATCCCAGCACTTGAGGAGGCAGAGGCAAGAGAACTGCCTGAGACCAGGGGTTCAAGACCAGCCTAGGCAACTTGGCGAGACCTCGTCCCTACAATAAATTTTAAAAAATTAGTGAGGCGTGTTAGTGCACGCCTATAGTCACAGTGGCTTGGAAGGCTGAGGCAGAAGGATCACCTGAGCCCAACAGGCCAAGGCGCATACTATTACTCTCTAGCCTGGGTGACCGAGTGAAACTCTGACACAAACAACATGCACCACTGTTCCGTCTCCATTTCCATCACTGCCAAGTAAAGCCAAAAACCTAACACTAGAGCCTTCCCACTTGAAAGGGAGGCTGCTTGGGCTGGGCTTCAGTCTGGGAGACTCAAGGGAGACCTGATGTGCATCTGTGATCTGAGCAGCAATGAAACAGCGAGTGAAAACATGGGCCGAAAATGTCCTCAACGGCCTCAGAACACTCTGGAAAGAGTCTGAAGCCGGCATCTCACACAGAAAGACAGGCTCTACGGTCGGGCTGCACTCCCTTGTCTATCCAGTCCCTCCTGGCTGTCCTGCCCAGGGCTGGGCCTGGCACGATCTTGCTAGAGCTGTGTCCTTGTCAACGCCCTGGACTGCAAGAAGGGGCACCCTGGCCGGCACCCTGCGCTGTGCAGGACGCCGAGACAGGAGATGGGCTGGGGTCAGGCCCCCCGGTTCCAGGACTCAGAGGCTCAGCCCAGGAGCCCACAAAGGTGCTGTGGGAGAGATGCTTCTGGAGGATGGCTGGCGAGGACCCACCAACGCCAGAAACACACACCCTTGGTGGATGACAGCAGGAGCGCCATCTGCAGTGGAGAAGAGCCTGCAGCCTCGGAGGTCACCCAGGCAAAGTGCCTCTTTCTCTGGTGTTTGCTGGGGGCC